GTGGGAGGGGTATTTAACCAAAAAGAGAAAACTGACTTCTAACTCTTCCACCTAGAAACAAAGGAGATTTTTATACACAGGGAGGGAATGTTTAAATACAATCTGGATCATTCTAATTCAAAACATATGCATTCTCATGGCATCAAAAGCCTTATCTGTAATATTTTAAACAAAAATAAAATTTAAAAAAAAGCCTTAAACATTTCTAATGACTAATTATATTCCACTTTACAGATACCCCACAATAGTCTTAACTATTTCCCCACTGTGGGGCATTTAGATTATTGCCATTTCTTATTTTTCTAAATAATACCATAATGAGTACCTGTCCTGTTCATATCTCTGTCAACATATTGGATTTCCTTAGGAGAATTTCTGGGAAGTAAACGTCTGAGTCAGAGGATATGAATATTTTTATGGTTTGTGAAATAGGCCACCTAACTGATTTTCCAAAAGGTTGTATTCTTATTTCTACAACCAAGGAGGAGAACGACAGCTTCACTCCCCAGACGGCATTAGTCGGTCTCATTTTAACAACTTTATTTGTCACAATAGTGCACATTTTTTATTCGTTTCTGGTTTTAATAGGAACCTCCTACTATTTCCCCATTGACTTTACTATTGGATATTGCTTTGTAGAAGATAGTCTTTCCTCTCATTTAAGAAGTACCCTTTTCTTGCTAGTTTGTTATGAGATTGTTAGCACCAGAGTTTAGATACTGCAGACTGCCTATTGAGCATCTGTGGTGATATGAGGGTTCTCCTTCTTGTTTAATCAATATGATACATTAATCAATTTAATTCCTGAGACACACTATCCCGTCATGACGGATTAGTCTTTAATGCTTTTAAATTAGACCACTCTTAATATTTTATTTAAAATTTTCACATCTTTACTAATAATCAACATTAGTCTACAGATTTGGGTTTTACTTTTTGTTTCACTTGCTTTGTTGCGTTCTAATATCTAAGTCATGCTAGGTTCCCATTTTAGCCTATGTTTTAATCTCAATCAGCCACTCGCAGAGTAAATATACATGATCTCTTTCAACTCCAACATAAACAAAGCACCTACTACAGGCAAAGCATTATACAAGGCCTCTCAGATCCTAAGTCAGTAAGTCTAGGATCAGGCCAGGGAAAGGCTTAATCGAAGAAGTTGTATTTCAACTGGGATTTGTAGGAAGAGCCTTGAGGGGAACCTGCAGGGAGGGGAAAGCCTGGGCAATCAAAAGGAGAGAAAACAATCCAAATAAACACATCGTGTTCAAGTGCAAAGCAGTTCAGGGAACATACACGGTCTATTTTGGCTGTAAAGCCGGCTATGACGAATAAAGAGGGCACACTGGCTGCCGAACATGAAAGTCTTTGGTCACCATGCTAAACGAAGGTCTACCTGTGCTGTGCAATACCCTGGCCAATATATCAGGTGGCTATTGACATTTAGATTAACTAAAATTAAATAAAATTTAAAATTCAGTTCCTTGGCCACACTAGCTACATTTCAAGTAGTCCATGGCCCCAAGTGGAATCCCCATACTGGATGGCACAGATACAGAACATCCGACATGGCAGAACTAGAACATGGCAGAAGTTCTAGTTGACAATACTGGTAGCATTACTGAGGGCCCATATTTTAGTTATATGTTTCACCAGTCAGGGTTGTGTGTCTGCAACTAAACTGCAAGCAGTGTTGTGGCAACAGCTCATTTATAATACAGTATGTTTAGGGCTGCACTTAAGTGGAGGAGCTGCGAACGCAGTGACTTTTTTCTTTTTAATAATCTCTTTCCGCTAGCATCCAGTTATTTTTACTGCAAAAAAAAATCTTTTAAAACGTTGACATGCCTATTTCTAAGGCATCTCCCATTGAGCTCAAAGTATAAAAGCTTTAAAATACATTAGCTTTGAAGTACTCATTTAGTCATTCATTTACTGTTAGAATTATGGACTACCCTGTTATTCAATAATGGGGCTTACTCCTAGCCCTGTTGTCTCTTTTCACAAAGTAAGCTCGGGCAAGGGGGAGGGTCTGGTGGAAAAGATGCCCCAGCCATTAGACAGTGGCTATCATGCCTGGAAGAATTTTTCTTCCTCCAGATAAAGAGCAGTTACTATGGCCAACAGCCTGGTATCAACTCTGAACCTATCATTCCCACAGAGACAGACTTAAATGACAATTAGGCTCACAAGCTGATCCATAAAAGGGCTGTTTTACCCATAGTATAGCTGTCTTCTTGACAGCTGCTTTTATGGGGAAAGTTCCTTAGCCCAAACTAAGTTCCAAATGACTTCTATAAGGTTGTTTTGCTAGTTGGGAGATGTTTACTACAGTGTTCTAAATGCAAAGCAGTCTTCAAAGTAATAAAAGTTGCCTGAAAAGTTACTCTAAGTGGCTGTCTGGGGTTTCGGGGTTATTTTTTACACTTCTTAATTTGCTTTCCATGTGAAGCTGTTGAAATATAGCATGGAAAAAGAAAATATTTCAAACAGGGCTTTGACTAAAGGTAGGAAAATGTTATGCATTAATTATGCTTAATGAATAACACAAATTACCCTTCACCTGAGTTGACTTTTAATTATTTGTGATTATTTCACAAATCCACTGTGTCAGATGTAAAATTAATTTTGACTTTGAAAATCCCTGGATCAAAAAGGTATAAAAGAAGTCATACGTATGATACATAACTAAAGGCAAAATAACATCAAATACCACAATCTCAAATTTCCATAGGCTTCTACTTAAAATGCTTCAAATCTCTCACTTTTCCTTACCAATACCACCATCCAAGTGTGTCTGTGTATGTTGATGTGTCTC